ATCAAAGAACTTTACTTTAGAGGTTGTTACATTTTTTCCTGCTTCACTGCTTTTGCAGTATCTAAGTGTTTCTATTTGAATAAATAAACAAGGAATGATGCTTGCATTACGCTGGGTTGTTGTGTCGGTTTAATTCTCGTTTCGAGAAAGGAGCAACAGCAAGTAATCACCAGTAAACGTGCTCGAGGGAAAGAATTGTTCCGTGCAAGGACACTCAAGGAGCCAAAAACAGGAGAACAGTAGCTGTTTTACAAAAAGTCGATAAATCTTTTTATAGCATTTTATTGCATCTTAATTTAATATATTATCTGATCTCGCGAGTTTTGATGCATGCTTTTAGTTATATCATGATCATATTTTTACAAAGTTTAAAGGAAAATAGCGAGACACATACTCCGGCTCATTTCTATAGTGAAACACATTCAAGCACTTAGTTTGATTTTGAAATTAAAGGGTAAGGGCTAACGTCATCGGAGAGAAGTTATGGGAAATGTTAAAATTTCCCGCGCGTAAAAGCTATAACAATACAGAACAATACTTATTGTTCTCGAATTCAGGTCGCTTTTCGTGATACGCGGTCGTGTTCTTTAAATGTATAATTTTATTTTACTACTACAGAATTTCGGTAAACGAAAAATTCGAATTGTTGTATTTTTATCACCTCACATAGATTCAGATTCTAGGTAAGTAAACTGACTCGCCTTAACTTCTTTGTTGCAGTTAAGTTTACAGTCACTTGCGGAGAAGGCATTCTTGAGTGTGGATACTCGATCGGGATTTAACATGCTCACAGCGTCTGTCGTTGAAGGGAATTACGACGTTTTTTTCAAGGCGCACGGGCAACTCAGTTCTTTTGAAATACTAACGGCAGCTGTAGCCGATGCTCTCGCAAATCTTGAAACCAAAAGGCCTGGTCATCACAAAATTGAACGTTTGAACCGAAATACAGTGGATAACGTCAATTCACTGTCAGAGCTGCACCAGTGTGCACACCGTAATGATGCGGAGAAGGCAGTAGAGCTTGTGTTAAATGATGGCCTGGATATAAACACCCCTGCATTGTGCAATCGCACACCTTTGTTGTGGGCGAGTCTTTCATCTTCTGGTGAGTTTATTGAGACCCTTATCGACCTTGGTGCTAACGTTAATGCTCAAAGAACCTATGACAAAGTTACACCTTTGCTCTTGTCTGCTAATTGGAATAACTTCATGGCAGTGTACTTGCTTTTGGATCATGGAGCAGTTGCTAATATCGCTGCAGCTGATGGACGTACTCCACTGCACAAGGCAGTGATGAAGGGTAACCAAAACCTTGTCAAATTATTTCTGGAAAAGAACGCGTTAGTAAATACTCAGAATGCTGATGGCGATTCACCACTGCACACAGCTGTTAGCAACGGATTTTTTGATATTACCAAGCTTCTGATTAAAAAGGGAAGCAACGTCAACGTTCAAAATAAAGAAGGAAGAACCCCTCTTTTTCTTGGTGTAAAGAACAAACATGAACAGCTCATCAAACTCTTGATTGAAAACAACGCTGATGTAAGTATTGGATACAAGGAAAACTCCACAGAAATGAAGTACATTGAGGTATATGAGGGTCTCAATGGGGTGGTGGCTTTTACGGTTATCGGCTAAAAGTTTGACTCTTTTACGGCTATCGGTTAATTTATTTCAGTTACGGTTAACAAAAAAGTTAAAAATTAATTTCTTTTGTTTCAAAGAGATAAATATTAATAAACCTGTGTTTTTGTATCTTTAAGCGAAATAAAGGTCTTGGGATCATCTCGGGATGTAATAAGTTATTCTTTTGAACCATTTTAACATTTGATAGATCATACTTTAAACTTTTCCACTTCTAATATTATTTTATCCATAGGAATGTCAACGGTTACTTTTACAAATCTCGGGAACAGTTTCTTTTACGGTTAACTCTTTTTTTACCCTATTTACGACTAACGGTGAAAATTTTTCAATTTTTACGGCTATCGACTAAATTTTTGGACGTTTTACTCGTATCGGTTAACCCCATTAAGACCCTCGTATATTGCTCGCATCTTCTAAATGCCTAAATTTGGTCAGCGCCAGCTGGTTTTGAAGAGTTAGTCAGGAGATTAAAGCCACTCAAAAACGGCGAAATGTTTTGAAAGAATAACAAATTTGTTTAATCATCTTAGGATGAGAAGCAGGTCCTGATCCATATGGAGAGAGCTGAGAAAGCAAAAGTAAGTTGAATGGCATATGTGTTGTAGTGTGCGCACGTTGTCCATTTAATCTGGGGAAAACAAATATGAAAACTTTAATCAAAGAAAGATTTAGAAATTCCATATTATTAACGTCTTCCTCATAAATCAGAGCACAGGCTTTCCCGTTCTGTTGCTAAATCAGCTTAGTAGGACGAGTAGGACGAGTAGGACGGTATGGGGGACTTTTCACAGGATTGATGTGTTGTTAGTGTCTCCAGTATTTATGCTGGCTGCATGAGGCTGGGTAAAAGTCGGGATTTGAGGGTTGGCAAGTCTGTAGGTTCGCCCACGAAAATTTAAACAGTGGGCTCTTTTTTTCGAGGTGACACTTGATCAAGAAATTCGTGTCCACCCTCAATCCACGTGCTGCGCGTGCAAGAACTTGTAAACCTCGGCTTTTCAGAAATGTTGAACTTCCCCGCGTGTAAAAGCCTTTATTATACATTGTACCAACTATCTGTTTTCTCATTGGCTAAGAGCCTAGAGCTAATTTTGGAAATCAGCGCAATCTACAGATTAGCAGGTAATTGACTAATCTGTAGGTAGCGCGCGCAATGCATGATTTCCAATAACAGTATCAATTCAAGCTTCTTGCGAGAGTGTATTTGTCGTTATTTTCTTCAAAAAAATGTATTAAAAAACAATTTTTATTAGGTTTTTGTGATATCCTAGATAATCAAGGTCTCGGTAAGTGTTACCAGCCTCGACCTTCGGCTCGACTGATAAAACTTACCCCGGCCTTTTGATTATTCCGGATATCACAAAAACGTAGTCCGATAATTGATTATTATGAGCGTTTTTGTCATTACAATTTATTAACTTTCTACAAAACAATAAGACAAACAATAACTACAGATAATTCACATTACAAAAGTCAAACTAGAATATAAGTAGTATAGGAGGGACCGGTTACTCCCTTTTTTTGGGCAGGAATTTCATTAACTTGGGCAGGAATAAATTAACGCCAATGACGTCATAGGCTATTGTCTTGATCTCATGAATAAAATGCGCAGGAATCTCATTAAGATAAGGTCGTGTGTTATTTTTAGTTGGTTTAGGTTTTTTTCTAGTTACTTTAATGTCGATAGACGTCTTCCTTTTCGATTGGTTAGTTAGAAAATAAAAACCTTTTTATTGGTTAATTCATAGTGTCTGAGGAGTAAAGTCAAACTTGTCTGTGACTTAAAATCACTGAGACGTAACGTAATTATGCACTTCCTATTTCCTGCTGCTGTGATTGTCCTTGTTCCGGTTCACTGATTTTTGGCGGGCAAATCGTGTATATTAAAGAGGGCAAAGGCAAACTAGCTCTTTTTTACACTGCAAGCAATGTTTTACTTACCCCTCTCCTTTTCATTTTTTATTTTCCTCCTCCTCCACAATTTTATTATTTTCCTTCCTCAATTTTTTTATTCCCTCCTCCACAATTTCACAATTTTAATATTTTCCCTCCACCACCACCACCACCACCACCACGGCCGCCGCCACATTTCTATTGTTTTCCCTCCACCACCACCACCACCGCCGCCACCACATTTCTATTGTTTTTCCTCCTCCTCCTCCTCCTCCTCATTTTGATTGTTTTGATTTGGGGTCGATGTGGGGTCGATATAGGGTCGATGTGGGGTCGATGTAAGGTCGACGTGGGTCGTTGTAGGGTCGATGTAGGGTGGATGTGGGGTCGATGTGGGGTCGATGTAGGGTCGTTATTGCTTTCCCTCCTTCTCCTCCTAACGTCGGATTCAAGTTGGAATTTCTCGAAATAGAAAATAAGAAGATAAAAAATGTCCGAAACAATTCTTATGGATAAACCTGAAGTGGAAGTATTTATTTTTGAGTAGAAGTTCTAAGCAGTAAATGGCAATTAAGTTGAAAACTTGGTCACGTGGTACAAATTCACGTTTGCCGTTTGGCGTAAAACGTGAATCTTAATCCCTCTAATTGTCCAGTCAATTCTGCTGAAACAATAACTTTTAATTAGATAAAATTCAGTGTACGCCGATATATAATGACAAGAAATTAAGAGGCGACTAGTCTTCTTAAAAACCGATTCAGTTTTTTGTCACGCTTACATTGTAATGATGAATCATGGGCTGCTTTTAGGGCTATCCCTAAAAAGATTAATGTGGTTATTGGTAAAGCAAAGAGGTCCTTTTTTATGGCGGCTCTCTCCTCAAAACGCCCTGAACAGGTATTGAGGGTCATCCATCGTGTGCTTAACCCTAGTACCAGTCCCCCAAGAGCCGATCCAGATCAACTCAACAAATACTTCATCGCCACTAACGAAAGGACACTGGGTACCACCCCGGATGCAACATCTGATCTTCTGGAGCTAGCAAAGTCATTACCAGAGCACTCACAACGATCATTTAAGTTATGTCGCGTAACTTTCGAGGACGTAATGAAGGAAATACACCACCTCCGCTCAGACTGCTCAACCGGTGTCGATCAAATACCTGTTAAATTCGTTAAGTTAATAAGTGAGCATATTGCCGGTCCTCTCTCCTCTTCTCTGTCTAATCAACGCTATCTTAACTGTGGTGTACCTCAGGAGTCCTGTTTAGGTCCTCTACTATTTGTTATGTACACATCTACGCTGTTCAAGGCTATCGAACGTCATCTCCCGAGGCTCATTGTTACGCGGATGATACCCAGCTATACGTGAGTTTCAAGCCCGATGATGCTAACGTCCAGAATGAGGCCATTCGCGCAATGGAGGATTGTATTAAAGATATAAGGAACTGGCTTATTGAAGGACGGCTGTTACTCGATGATGATGGAACTGAATTTCTAGTTATTGGAACTTGTCACCAGTTAAATAAATTAAATCCTTCAGTACTTCATGTAGGTGATCATACGATTGACAATTCGGTTAACGTAAGAAATTTGGGAACGATATTTGGCATTTCAGTTAGTATGGATACTCACATAAATCAAGTTTGTAAGGCCGCTTTTTACCATATTCACAATATTCGTAGAATTTCTAAATACCTTTCACAGTAAACTAGACACGTGTTCCGAGTCTTCCGATAATCGCGCTACTTTGAGTGGCGTAGCGAAGGTCACATGGCAACTACGGAAATTTCGTTGAAATGTAGGATTCCAGGAAAAAAGTTTCAAGTTAGAGATGGAAAGCTCGATATTTGGGGAAACAAGAAACCGCGACGGATGTAACCTCTGTTTTATCGAGTATTTATTTGTATGACATGCAGAGCTTGTTCTTTATTCCCTTGTTTCCATCGATAAAGCCGGTAAGTTTGCCCCATCGTTCAACAACCTTTCGCGTATTTGTCTTCCAAACATGCTAGGATTCATCAATTTGAACAATTCTATGGATTTTATAACGTCTAAAAGTTTAGAAGGATTTCCTCGTCCTCCTTCATTAAAGGGAGAATATGTGCCGTACGCGTACGTTTGATAATGACGAATAATGCACACTCCGCCATGAGTAACACGAACTGCTCGTGAGGTTGCCTCGGTCCCTCTCCGGTCAAATACAAATCAACTATCCTGCCCTGAACTCTCGACCTAAAGCGTCATAATCAATAGGTCTGAACATTTTGAAAGTCCGTTAAATCCTCAAATCTTTCTTCGGATTTTGTAATTTCGTTTCGAAGTTCCCAGATCTTACCAAAATGCCCCAAATATGCTAAACAAAACTTGAAACGTTGTCCGAATTTTCGGAATTTACTGGTCACGCGTGACGGAGCATCGCTGTAAAACATTAGTTCATGCTTTCGTTACGTCCAGACTCGATTATTGTAATAGCCTTCTTTATGGCCTTCCCAAATATCTTATAAGTAAACNCCTGAACTCTCGACCTAAAGCGTCATAATCAATAGGTCTGAACATTTTGAAAGTCCGTTAAATCCTCAAATCTTTCTTCGGATTTTGTAATTTCGTTTCGAAGTTCCCAGATCTTACCAAAATGCCCCAAATATGCTAAACAAAACTTGAAACGTTGTCCGAATTTTCGGAATTTACTGGTCACGCGTGACGGAGCATCGCTGTAAAACATTAGTTCATGCTTTCGTTACGTCCAGACTCGATTATTGTAATAGCCTTCTTTATGGCCTTCCCAAATATCTTATAAGTAAACTACAACGAGCACAGAACGCTGTAGCCAGATTAATAACGAACACCAGAAAGTATGATCATATCATACCAGCTTTACATAACCTTCACTGGCTACCTGTGTTTTACCGCATCTATTTTAAAATTTTAATTATTACATTTAAGGCTATATATAATATTTCACCTAGCTATATTAGTAACTTAGTGTCTGTTAAGTCGTGTTCTGTTTATTCCCTTAGATAGAATTCTTCATTATTTTTCTACCGTTCCAAGGGGCGCATGCTATCTGCATTAGGAGCTCGTTCATTTTATGCTGCTGCCCCCATACTGTGGAACCTTTTGATCATTTTAATGTTAAAAGGTGCTATATTAATTGAATAAATTATTATTATTATTCTCACTGACTTTATCAATACCTGTATTACCTCTTCGACGTTTCCTTGAACATGGAAACTGCTCGGGTTTCACCAATCCCAAAGACGGATTACCCACAGAGCGAGAAAGAGTACCGCCCAGTATCTATTCTGTCGACTCTTTCAAAAGTGTTTGAGCGGTTAGTGCTGAAACAATTAATTTCCTACAATGATGAGCTTTCTTTATTGGCACCAAGTATATCTGATCTGGTTTCCGCAAGGGCCATTCTATTATAACTGCGCTGCTAGGTATTGGCGATGATATCCGAGCTATGAAGAGGGGTGAAGTCAGCTTGATGGTTTTCGCAGACTATTCTGAAGCCTTTGACACAGTTTGTTTTAAGACAGTACTAACCAAGATGTACGCTTTAGGTTTTTCAAACGAATTTCTTACTTGGATGGTCCACCACCTCTCTGATCGCCGCCTGTTCGTTCAGATAGACAAGACCTCGTCTATCGAGACTGTACTGTTTGGTGTCCCACGGGGACCGATACTCGGACCTTCTATTTTCAACCTATTTGTTTCTGATCTTCAAAAACACATTAAGTGTCCTTGTTACCAGTACGCGGACGATACAACTTTCTTCGTTCACTCAAAGACGAACGACTTAGCTAATGGTGTCGTGAAATTAAATGACGCAATATGACGTTTGGGGAATTATTCATCTGAATCAAACTTCGCATTGAATGAAGCTAAAACAAAGTGGATGCTTGTTTCCAACCGCCAGATGTCTCGAGCTTAAGCGTTGCACGATTATTATCCAGCTGTGAGCTGTAACGGGAAGCTACTAGAACGTGTCAACACAGCTAAGATACTGGGGGTCCTCATGGACGAACACCTAACATGGGCTTACCACGTGACTGTACTTCTGCAGCATTGACGGTTCTCCGGAAACTGCGCAACCTCGCACCATACCATGTTCGCAAGCAGTTATTGAAGTCATTAGTGATGTCAAAACTGGACTACGGGTGCGTCGTCTTCTATTCCCTTCCAGAATACCAAATGAAACGGCTGCAAAGAGTTCAAACAACATGCGCGGGCTACGTACTTGGGTGGTACGATGTTTTAGAGGACTTGCAGAACTGAATTAAACTGGCTTCCAATTATAAAAAGGAGAGACCTAGCACTACTGAAAATCACTCATAAAGCCCTCTACGATGATGTTTGGCCTGAGTACTTACGCTTTAAATTCCATACTGTCAGTGCCTGTAACTTAACATCTCTTGAAGCACCAAATTTGGCTATTCCAACTGAAAGCGGCAGTTTTCAGGACTCAGCAGCGAGGTACGTTACCTGATAGGTTAAGGCAAGAGCCTGACTATAACAAGTTCGTTAGGTTAGCCAAGAAGCTCGTGTTCTCCGAACGAGAAAGGGTATGACTGATTTTTATTATTATTTTTAACCGCGCTGTTTTTTAATTGCACGTATTTTTATCAAAACTTTTGTACTTATCCTTAATTTATGGTATATATCATTTTAAATTTAAAATCGGCTTGATTTTTTGTAATAATATATTGCAGTTGGGGCATTAGTACGCGAACAGCCACCTCGTGGAAGTACTAGTAATAAAATCGTTAGTAGTAGTAGTGGTAGTGGTAGTGGTAGTGGTAGTTGTAGTGGTAGTGGTAGTGGTAGTGGTAGTGGTAGTGGTAGTGGTAGTGGTAGTGGTAGTGGTAGTGGTAGTAGTAGTAGTAGTAGTAGTAGTAGTAGTAAATTCCTTTATTTCCATGACCGCATCATTTTACAGTATTGCAAAGCATGCATATAACAATCAAAATAATTAGAACAAACGGCACTAATAATAATCTAGAAAAATTCAGTTACATTATTAACAATGAATCACGTATTTTCATACAGGAGGAAATAAACTTCATAACTAGCTTATTTACATGATGTTCCTTCGAATTCATTATCACTTTTATACTTTCTGGAGATGATTTCTTGTCAAAGTCAGGTATTATTCGATTGATTTGATTAATAAATGCCTGTCTCTTGTTACATTGAAAGAGGAAATGAATCTCATCTTCTACCTGATTTGAGTGACATAACGGGCATAATCTATTTTCTCTTGGCAAATGATCGATTTGGTATCGACCATGTTCAATCATAAGTTTGTGATTACTTATTTTAAATTTAACAAAATTTTGTCTTTCGTCATAATGTCTTAGCTGGTAGAGATAATCAGATGTAGAATATTCATCTTTAAAAGTTTTATAAAATTCTAGTTTTTTTTAATTTTCAAGGCTGTGCCGCCAAAAAGATAGGTATTTCTCTCTCATTTCTGTGGTATATCGTCTAATTTTATCATTATCTAGAGATTCAGCATCTAAACTGGTTAGATTGTATTGTTCAAACATGTTTATGAAATTGGAAAAATATCCTGAATTATTCATTGAATGTAGATTCTTTGACATAAGGAAAGACTGTTTGACTATAGAGTCATTATCTTTGTTGTTGAGGTAAACAAAATATTTCATAATTTTCTGATTTATCGGGATAAGCAGCGGCAATCTACCAAGTTCAGCTCTGCAAGCTATGTTAGAGGCCTTATTGTTAACCTCTAAGTAACGTTTACAGAATTTGAGGTGGATTTTTTCTGTTGGGGAGCTATCCCATTTTTTAAAATCTTGCTTGGTGTACATTCCCCATACCTCGCTGTTGTAACTCAAGATTGGGAATACCATGGTGTCAAAATTTGGGATGCAGTATTAGGATTAAGTTTGTTAAGAATTGTCCGCTTCCGAATACTAGACAACGCGTGAAGGGCCTTTTCTTTTAAGTGTTCGAGTGCAAGTGTAAAGTTTCCCGTTGGAGTTAAACGTGTACCTAAATAAGTGTATTCTTGGACAATTTCAGTTGACTCACTGCCTATGTTGAAGTTGATGTCAATAGATTTTTTTGGGCGTTTCTGGAATATCATAATTTTTGTTTTCTTCGGATTAATTTTTAGCTTCCATTTGTCACAATAAAAGGAAAGCGCATTTAAACAGTTCTGCAATCCAGTTTTCGATCTTGATAGAATAACTAAATCATCTGCGTAGAAAAGTGAATTAATTTTTTTCCCATTTGGAAGAACAAATGGGTCAGATAAGGTGTTTTCGAATAAATGTGGTAGATTGTTTAAATAGAGGTTAAATAAAAGAGGGCTTAAAATACAGCCTTGACGTACACCTCTGGAATATGAAAAAGGCTGTGTTTTGTTTTCACCGATTTTGATGGAACATGTCGAGTTGCAATAAAGACTTTTCATGAGGTTGTACAAGTTTCCTCCTATATTCGTTTTTAGCAGTTTATAAAACAATCCTTCGTGCCAAACAGAGTCAAACGCTTTGCGGAAATCTACGAAACAAGCGTAGACTTTTTCCTTGTGATAATGCACATATTTATCTATTAGGGTCCTTAGAGTGAAAACATGGTCTGCAGTGCGGTTTTCAGGCAAAAAGCCAATTTGGGAATTATGTAATATCTTATTTTTCCTCAAAATACCAGTGAAGTCTTCGATTTAGAATAGAACAGAACAGTTTTCCAAGGCAACTAGAAACACAGATGCCTCTGTAATTTGTTGGATCACTCTTGTCACCAGATTTGTAAATTGGGGTTATGAGGCCTTGACACCAAACATCTGGCATTTTTCCGGATTGTAAAATGAGGTTAAAAAGTTTGACATAGACAGGCATTAGTGGTTCGAGGCTTGCTTTGATCATTTCATTTCGAATTTGTCAACAAATGGTGATTTTTTATTTTTCAATTTCTTCGCCGCTTGACGTATTTCCCTCTCAGTTATCTCATAATCGAAATGGGTAAACTGTTCCTTTTCGTGTTCTAAAGAATTTAATTCCCTATGGATTTCATGTTCATGCGTGGAATTCGTCGGGTCAATAAAATGAAGAGATTTGAAGTGGTGAAGCCATGATTCTTCCTAGTACATCTTTCGTTTAAACTACGAGGCCTTGAAAACACAATTCTTGCTCGGGTTTTATTTTTATTCCAGGAAAGAACTTGAGAGCGCCCTCTAGAGCCGTTTTGAATTCCTCTCCCCGTCTCTGTCCACAAAAGTATCACATACTGGTAACATGAAATCAAAACATCTGTGAAAAATGTCCATGGCTTCTTGCCGATCGCTCTTGCGGTCGGTGAAGTCAGGGGGTATTGTGTGTTATCCAATCACTGCCACATCCAGATTTTGGATGTGTCACACGATTTGCTGAATGGTTTTGTGTCAGGCCTTCCTTTCTCTTCTCCCCCTTCCCCCTCCCCCATCTAAAATCTCCTCTCCCCTAGCCCCTTGGAAGGCCTGATACTCAGGCTAAAGGGATCAAAGCTGTACATGTAGCTCTACAAACCAGCTCTCTACCTACTGAACTTACTCTGAAAGCCTTGTTTAGCAGTAATTTTAATTTATTAACACTATCTGTCACTCACTCACTTACCTGGGCAAGTGAAAAACTAGGCAGTTGTGGGATGTGTTGTTTGTATAGTTGCTTATCTTGGCAAGTAGTTTCTGCCTAAATAAAGAAAACTAAATTCAAAGTTAGCTTAGCTTTTGAATCACAGGGTTATGTACGTTGTATAAGTCGTTGTACAAACGTGCGTCAGACTGCATGAATAGAACCAATATATGAATAAGTTTCTAATGTCATGAAATGTTCTATAAATTTTTTCTCACAGAAATCTAGTATATTTGTTAAGAAAATAGTGCCTCGGGCTATCGGGCCAATATCGATACTCTCGTGCTCGTTCAGACCAAGAGAAGTCTCAACATGCCATGATTTTAACAAAGGACGTGATATATTTGTATAAAAACAACAACAAGGATATACAAAGAAAAAAGGCAGCGACGAAGTACAGATAGAAAAAAAATTGAGGTCGTAAGTGGGTCATTGCAGTTATCTAATCTCTTATCTCAGTTCTGATGAACTAAACTCGCA